AACAACATGACTTCGGCACAGCCTAACACGTTTCGTGGCCCCGTAGGGAGCTCCACCGAATGTCGTGCGTCCGGGCCATTCACTTCGCCGCATTTCTCACTCGTTTCGTGGCCCCATACGGAGCTCCTCCGAAGGTCACATCGGCGCGGCCCGCATGCGCCCGCGCCACCCATTTCGCAACCCACCTCAAACGTTTCGTGGCCCACGTGGGGAGCTCCACCGAAGGTCCCAGCGGCGCAGCCTGCACGCGTCCGCGCAACCCATTTCGGCACACCCCTCACACTCTTCGTGGCCCCATATGGAGCCCCACCGAAGGTCCCAGCGGCGCAGCCCGCATGCGTCCGCGCCACCCATTCCGCCACCCCTCTCACGTGGCGTTGCCCCGTAGGGAGCTCCACCGAAGGTCCCCGTGGCGCAGCCCGCATGCGTCCGCGCGGTCCGTTCCGCCACACCCCTCACATGTGGCGTGGCCCATAGGAAGCTGCACCGAAGGTTTCAGCGGCGCAGCCCGCATGCATCCGCGCCACCCATGTCGCCACACCCAATCACACGTTTCGTGGCCCCGTGGGGAGCTCCACCGAGGGTCCCAGCGGCTCAGCCCGCATGCGTCCGCGCAACCCATGTCGCCACACCCCTCACACGCTTCGTGGCCCCATCGGGAGCTCCACCGAAGGTCCCCGTGGCGCAGCCCGCATGCGTCCGCGCCACCCATTTCGCCACACCCCTCGCACGTTTCTTTGCCCCGTGGGGAGCTCCTCCGAAGGGGCTATCTTGGCGTCCCTTGGGGGGCCTGGCTGTCTTGAAGGCCTTTGGGGGTCCATGGGGCACAAAGTGCGTCAGAGGCGTGCCGAAAGGACGCTCCCAGGAGCGGTTCATGAGCCACGAAGTGCGTGAGAGGTGTACCGAATAGAGGCTCCCTTTAGCCGTCGTGATGGCCAGCGGATCGCCCCTGGAGGTCCATGAGTCCCGAAGTGCGTGAGGGGTGTGCCGCACAGAGGTTTCCCTGGGCCGTCTTGAGCGACCACCTGGGCGCTTCTGGAGGTCCATGATCTACGAAGTGCAAGAGGGGTGTGCCGAATTGAGGCTCCCACCAGAATAGAGGTGCCGTTTATATATATATATATATGTATATATCTATATTTACATATGTAGCATTTGCGTCTCGTCGCGCTGATCCCTGATCGGCCAAGTGGCGACGGCCTTTGAGCCGCAGGGGTAGTGGCCTCATTGGATCACCCGCCCGAGGCCTTGGGAACCCGCGTGCCAGCGGCGCATCGTGGTCCATCACCCTAGGGGGCTGAGCGTCCACGCCCCGGCCTGTGCATTCCACCCCGTCGGAGTGGGCCTTCGGCCCCCCAGCCCGCGCGCGCGGCGCCGCGGAGTTGTGCATTCCACCCCAAAGCTTGGGGACCCAAGCCATCAGGATTGTTTCGTGTCCCTGGAGCCTGATAGTGCAGATAAGTGTTGTTTTCTATCTGTCCCAGGAGAATCGATCGGCGTGAACACGCACGAAATTCATGAGGGAATATCCAGGCGGAATGCGCGGAGCCGCTTCTTTGCATGACATATCCATCTTCCACTCCCAACTCTTGCGCATCTTTCTTTTCATTCGACACGGCCAAGGTCGCCCTGCTCCGGCTCCGCTCCCGCAGGGAAGCCGCCGAGTTCAACACGTGTTAACCGCCCACCTTGTTTGGTTATCGCCGGATGAGTCGCCAATGGGCCCAAGACGGGTCGAATCTATGCCGAGCGAAGACCAAGACGGCCGCGCAGGAGGCACAACAAGGCTTCCAGACGCGTTTCGGGGCCCTCCTGGACCGTCTTGGAAGCCTCTTGGGACTATCTTAGCCCGTGTTGGCGGTCACGGGCCTCTGGGAAAGTCGCGCTGGAACACACGACAAATCCCAGGACTTGGGCCCCTGGGCCCCTGAAAAGAATACTGCGATGGCCTTACGGCTAGTGCCGTCGACCCTGAAGAGGGGACCTACCCCTTGGAACCCCGGCGACCTCCCCCTAGGACCCCCTGGGACCCTGGGGGGGGGCGGCATTCCGACCCTGACGACGACGACGACGACGACGACGACGACGACGACGACGACGACGACGACGACGACAGCGTACTCCACACGCCGAAGGGTCGGCGGATTTACAGCATTCAATATCAAGGATTGCGGACTCCTTAGGCTCTGAGGGCACTCCATTTCGTGCCTCGAGGCGTGGCGGATGACTATTGCTTGTGTCTCCATCTTCTTGTCCTGCCTCCTCCTCCTCCTCCTCCTGCTTCCTCCTCCCCTCATCCCCTCTTCCTTCCTCCATTCCTCCTCCTTACCTCCTCCCCATGCTCACTCCTCCCTCATCTTCCTCCCGCGCCCAGATCGAGGATCGAACTTGGATCACCACCTCTACCCTCTTCTCACCGGAGGGGGGCAGCGGACGCCCCCCTCCGGTGAGAAGAGGGCGAGAGGCGCCTGCGATCCGGGCGCCCGGGCGCCGAAGGCCCTTCCTCCTCGCCTCTCTTTCCTCGCCCTCCTCCCCCTCGCCTCTCTCCTCTTTCCTCTCCCTCCCCCTCCTCCCTCTTTATGAGGCATCTCAGTGGAAGCAGAGTTGCAGCCCTGTCGTGGAGCCCGGGCCCGCACCGACCCCCCCGCCCCCCCACCGCGCGCCCTGCGCGCACAGACCCGACAGCACCACAGCCCATCAGGCCTGCCTCGTGGCCCGCCAGTGGGCCCGAGGCGCTGGCTCCCGGGACCGCGCCGCGCCCTCTTTGCGCAGGCGCGGGACGACGCCGGCGCCGTCCGCTGCTACGCAGATGGCCTCGGGCTCCTGCAGGCGCGCCGCCGGCAGGGGTCGGAGCCCGCCGCGAGAGCAGGGGGGTGGGGGGCAGGAGGCAGGGTCCCTGAAGCCAGGACGTTGCCAACCAGGGCTCTGCAAGTTCCGGTGGGAGGGAGCGGAGAATGGAGAAGGCTTCGGCTCACGGGAGTTGCCGGCTGGTCTGTAGAGTTCCTGGGCCCGCAGGTTAGGCCAGGTTGGGGAATGAACCCTTGACGTCACGAATTGCAGTGGCGAGTAGAATGTGCAGGCCGTTCGTCTGGCGGGCGGCTTGTTCCCCAGGCAGCCTAGACCCTCCTGGTGCAATCTGCCCTGATCTCACTGCTGTTGCTGCGCCTGCTGCTGCTCCTGCTCAGCAGTGCTGACGGTAGCCGTTGCGCAAAAGTAGCCAGACTTCTGCAAGAGTGAAGCTGCACTTAAGGCACGGTGTGGAGCATGCGGGAAGCAGGTGGATCATTGAGAAACATCCCCTCAACAGCTTCTGGGAAGCGGGCCACTATTCCCACCCCCGCACATGCCTGATGCTGCACGCGCAAGGTTGTCTAGCGTGCTATACTGAATTGTGGACAGACTGGGCCCATGGTTATTCAATCGCTTCGCTCATTCCGCCGGCCCATATTGTAACATCGCTGGCACTTGCTTGCGTGCGTGGGATGGCATTTGGGGGGCCGCTTGGGGGCCTCTTGGGGGCCTCTTGGGGGCCTCCTGAGGGCCTCGTGGGGGCATCTTAGGGCCTCTTGGGGGCCTCTTAGGGCCTCTTGGGAGCCTTTCGGGGGCCTCTTGGGCCCTGCTGGGGGCCTCTCAGGGCCGAGGGCTCGAAACATCCGTGCGGGTCTCCCGTCTGGACCCCCTCTTGGAGCCGTCCTGGGGCCTCTTGGGCTGTCTTGGAGGCCTCTTGGGTCGTCTTGGGGCCCTCTGGGGCGGTTTCTGGGCCTTCTGAGTCGGACCGCCAGGGACCTGCGGACCTTGCCGGGGCAATTTTCGTCCGGGGACCCCCAGGGGCCGCCCCGCGCGCGCGAACTAGAAATCGGAGATTGGGGGGTGAGTCCGACGTGAAACGGAGACCCCCCCTACCGGGAAATCGATTTCGGTTTTGGGTTCGTGTCGTGCGTGCCGTGCGTGCGTGCGGGCGAGGCGAAGCTGCGTGGGCGGGCGAGAGGAAATCCATGGGCTGCGGCCGGACCAAATGTTTCTCCTCCGGCGGCCGGTGGCCCACGGTGTCCCGCCGGTGTCCCGCTGGTGTCCCGAAATCCTCCTGTGGCTGGGCCGCGGCCGGACCAAATGATGCCGCCCGTCAAACGGTGGCCCGCGCTGTACCGCTGGTGTCCCTCCGGTGTCCCGCCGTGGGTTGTGCATTTCAAAACATCGCCGCTTGCGGCGAGCTATCCAATGCAAGTCTGCATGCAAACCGACATGCAGACCCAAAAGCACATCGAAATGCAAATCGATTTGCACATCCAAATGCAAATCGTAAGGCGCCGTGGGCGCCGCGGCGAGCTTTCCAATGCACGTCGACATGTACATCGAAAAGCTAATCGAAATGCACATCGATATGCAAATCCAAATGCAAATCGAAAGGCACATCGTCATGCCGTGCTGTATGCTGTGCCGCCGTTGTCGCTGTCGGGGGCACACGTCATAGGCATCGTCAGAACAACAATCACCATTTTTGCCCACTGTTGCCCCCCAACCTCCTTATCACCCGCAGGGTGGTCTTATAGGTAGTGATAACCAGTTACCGGAGATCTTAGCACGCCTCTGGCCCGTTGGGCCGGCGAATTGCTCCAATGTGTTTTCAATCTTCGCCCCAGCTGTAGTGCAACACATGTGTCATGAAGCGGCAGACCATGTGAAACACGACGTAGTGCACCTCTCTGCCATCACATGTGACATACACATGGCACGCTAAAAGTTTGATGTACATGTGAACGACTGCAGCGCGCGATTGGCGCCAATAATACCGGAATGAGTGCGAGACGACAGCACGTTTTTACGCGAGCGGATCAGTGGCATACCAGCAAATTACAGTGTCGTGGTGCCAAGTGCCCCCCGCAGCGTTCCATTGTTAACGCCGAAGCGACTCGACCGCGAATAAAAAACCAAGCTAGGTACACGTGCGGCATCAGGCACCAGACGAGTAGCCCACGGCCATCTCGGCACAGGCACGCAGCATGGCGCCCATCCCCAGGGTGGGCGGCGCCACGGTGGCGACGCGGGCCGTGCCGCCCGGCGAGGCCGGGTACTTGACGGTGGAGGCGGGGACCAGGCTGGGGGAGCGAAACCCACCATCCACCATCTTCCATCCCTCTCTCTCTCTCTCCCTCCCCTGGGCAACGCTCAGGAAGACAGGTGGCAGGCGGCTTTTCCCGCACAAGGAGGTCGGGCTCCCGACCGACTGGCGTCCTCCTTCCCATCCCTTGCCAGTGCGTCGAGCCCCTCTCTCTTCGCACAGTCGAATGTCGTAGAGGACAATGACCCCTAAGAGTGCTCTCTTATGATATGTCGTAGGGGAGCACGGCAGACCGCAACATGGCATAGTATGGTGTGACATTGCATAGTCAACCATTGAATGTCATAGCATTGAAGCGCAAGGCATGGCATCGTATAGCGGCACATGACATAACATTGCATCGCATGGCATGCCATCGGATGGCATGGAACAGTACGGTATAGCGTGGTATGGCACTGCTAGTCAAAGTATAACATTGCAGAGCAAGGCATGGAATGGCAGACTAGCGGTACATACATAGCACTGAATTGCATGTTATGATTGCATGAGCGGCGAGCAGTGCTGCCAGAAGACCATGCTGGAGGGCCGACAGTTTGGAGATGAGGCCAGTGCTGCAGCGAGAGCCACATTTTCAAGGACCGATAAATGTGGAAGTGAGGCCAGCGCTGCAGCGGAAACACTATGTGGAAGGACAGAAAGCGTGAAAATAAGACCAGGGTTGCAGTTGGAACACAATTTTGAAAGGAAGGATGCACGGACATGAGGCCAGCGCTGCGGCGGGAACACCGTTTTCAAGGACCGAAACGATCGGATTGGAACACGGGAAAGACCCGCTTGTGAAATCTTGCGTGTGTGAAAATAGTTCGCGGAGAGGGCGGGACATCTTCCGGACAGAGTTAGGGGAGCAAGGAGAGTAGTATTCCTCATGTGTCATTGTGTTGAGGAGGGGCGGGGATTCGACTGCGGAGGGGGGAGGGGAGGCGTTTCCCCCCCGCTTTTGTCGCCGCCAGGCTGAAGATCGAGCACATTGGAGCTGGTGAGGGGGAGCGCGGCTGGCTCTACGCGCGCCAGTCCGACGCCCCCGACCAGGCTGGCTGGCTGCCAGTGCAGGCGGTGCTCGCGGACCGTGCGCCGAGGGCCGTGAGGGGCTTGGTCCAGAGGCCAGCGGAGGAGAAGGGCTACCTGGTCGCCGCCAGGCCTCGCCGATAGAGCGTCCAGGGGGGGGGGGCGGGAGTTTGCAGGAGATGCTCAAGGCCAGCGGGCGCGCAACCGCAGGGGCGGACGGCGGGAGCGAGATGGACACCATATTCGGTGCAGTGTGGGCGGGGAAGCGGGAGGGGGAGGGATCAGGGTGGGGCGTGGGGGGGAGGGAGCGGGAGGGACAAGGGGGAGGGGGAGGGGAAAGGGGGGGAGAAGCACGCTGCGTGCGCTCGCGCCGCACCTCACATCTCACCCTTCCCGCTAGCCCCGCCCCCTTGCATTGAACCTTCTTATATTCGCCAGGTCAGGTGTCGGAATGGGCCTTGATCTCCGAAAGGCATTTGCAGCGCTTGTCCAGTCATTTACTGCACAACCGGGGACATGACAAGATGGCGCCATGCAGTCTGTAGGAAGCCGGAGACAAGACGCGCACAATCGCACAAGATGCATCAGGGAGGGAGATCAGCAGCAACAGAAGGAGGGTGACAGAAGGAGAAGGAGGAGGAGGCGGAGGAGGACAAGAACGAGAAGGACGATAACAACGAGCAGGAGTACAAATGATCAGACGAGGAGGAGGAGGAGGAGGAAGAGGAGTGTGAAAAGGAGGACGAGGAAGAGGAGGAAGAGGAGGAGGAGGAGGAGGAAGAGGAGGAAAAGGAGGAGGAGGAGAGGCGTCTGGCCTAGGAAGAGGGCCCAGCCCCAGGTGTACCGCCAGCGAGGCAGGCCACGCTCTGCTACCGTACTTCGCAACACGGGAACCAACGTGGCACAGGCGCAATTTTCCTTGATCTTGTACGAAGCCCAACCGTTCCTTCGATCCCATGACGGCTCCCCCTCGTTTATGTTGTTTGGTCCTCGCCAAAGGTATGGTGTGTGGTCCCCATCAACGATGAAACTGTAGCTGTGGCAGATACGTCAAAAGCCACCACTGGCGCGCTGTCTATGCGGCACTCGCTTTGACAGTTGTGCCCGTCGCGAGAGTCGAAGCCGCCGCACTGTCCGTGACGACCCGTCAACCCAGCCATTCCCGCGACAATCAGAAGGACACCAAGAGGGAGGAGCAAGAGATCAAGTAACTCATTGGTCGCGTCATCCCCATGACGAGATCGGATGCCCAGTGGCACATGCGCGATATCGGCTACGACACAGCCCCGAGTGGTACGCAGGCCGTCAAGAAGTACAAGCAAGGAACGCACCAAGAAGAGGCTCGTCGACATAGCCAGGCTCGTGATCGTTCCCCGAAAGGCAAGATTAGAAGAGACTTACCTCTGGAAAAAAGTTGCGGCTGAAAGTACATGATGGTGAACACAGTCAGGCTCGCAGATCTTCTGGCCTAGTTGATACAAAAAACGTGACATTTGCGGCAGCCGCATCAAGATGATGACCGCGAAATTGAAGGAGATAGAATATCAAAGGAATGTGGCATGATGCGACTTGGCGCGATGGAAAAAAGCTCATCGAGGAGCTAGCGGACCTGGGGACTACCAGGTCGGAGGCGATATGGATGAAGAGTCCCGCGCGGACGCAGCAGGAACCCACCCAGAGGATGGATAGTTCAGCGGCGCGCACCCACCGGCAGCACCTATGCCAGCCCCTGCTCCAACAGGTGCATGCCCCAGAGTAGACCAAGCTATTGCGCGTGCGATGGCATCCCAGGCGGCATGGGCGGCCGAGGCTTTCCCACCGCAGCCGCCGCCGCCACCGGCCGCAGCCAAAGATGCGAAGCCGTGCGCCGGCGATGGACCGGGCCCTGAACTTTCCGGAGGGGCGTCCTGCGCATGCGGACTGGGCAATTTCCTTTTGCCTCTTATTGGACTCCTCTCGGGGCGAGATATCTCATGTCACGGAGGGCTCCACGCATCACGGGGACAACAGCACTGGGGCTTGGGCCACGTTTCGCGTTGGGACCGATTCGGCAGGGCGTTCGTTCCAGGGAGCTCGGGCAGCATATGTCTTGGATAGCTTTCCCGCGCCTGGTGCCCGAACGGGGCTCGCCAGCCCTGACATAGAGCGTGCGCGCGTCTCCCGGCCCCGATTGCGATCGTCGCGGACGTGGCCCACGAGCCGACCGCCATCCTCGCTGACTCCTTGGACGTCCGTCGCCCAGTGCTTGCGCGGACTCTTGGCAGGGGCGAAATCGAGCGCAATTGCTCGGATGCCACAGATATTGCATGATATCGCCTGTGCTCTAGCAACCAGAAGGTGGCCGACGCGCGAAGGGCCGTGAGGGGTCCAGGCCTTGGCGGGTCATCTGGCAGGACTAGCTGGCGCTGAATCCTTGGGGCCCTGCTCTCGGCCCCCAGTCTGGGTCGAGGCCGCCGAGTTAAGCGCGGGTCGGGGGCGGGGCTGACTCGCCCTTACCAATGCCGACGCGGCGGGGTCTCATCCAGCGCTGGAGGCCGAGGGGCCGCGGGCTCCGACCACTTCGCGCGAGGCGGTTTTTTTTTGGGCCGCGGGCCACAGTTCAGGGTCGCCCAGATCATTCGTGGCACTCGTTTGAATACAGCCACCTTCAATCTTCAGAACGCGGCCATGGCAGAGCGACGAGGCGCTCGGAGCAAGCTGCGCGTCGCTCGGAATGTCGCCAGTCAGATTCAACGCGACGAGGAGGGCGTTGTCTCGGCAGGCGCCCGGGAGGCCCGCCGCGGGTTAACGCGCGCCTTGCGCGCGGGGCCTCGAAACGACATCTTCTTTTTTGGACGCGCAGCACTTTCGCGGGATTGGTGCGTGCTCTGGCGGGGCGCGCCCTTCACTCGGGCCGCGATGCTGCTGGGCGGGCGTCCTTTTGGGATTTCGCCATAGGGCTTGCGCGCTCTTGGGGCGTTGATGTGTCTTGTATGGACGCCAACGGGGGGCTCGATGTTTTCCCCCCTGAGGCTGCTGAATTTGTTGGGCGGGTTCAAGATTGGGGCGCCGGAGGCGATTCCCTCCGCGAGCTTGCCCGATGACATCGCGCGCCTGTTCTCGGCGCCTTTCATGGCGGAGTAGACCGGCGGGCGCGGGGGCCCAGCCGCGGGCTGAGACATCGACCGCGCGCGCGATTCTTACTTGCGCATGGATGGGCAACCGCGCCTTTTCATCCGGCGTGCGTCGTTGCGTGGATCGAGCGGCCGGCGTTGTCGACCGCGCCCCTGCCGCTGCGCCCTTCGAGCTCCGCTTGCCCACCGCGTCGCTTCCGCGCGGTTGGGCCCCGGGGCCGTCGGGGCCCCGCAGACGGTCGGAGTCTTCCAGGAGCAAGCTCAAGGAGCATCCAGCGGCATCTCGCAGCGCCCCGCCTTTTGACCACCGCGCTCCCAGCGACCAGGGAGTGGGCAATGTGGTCGTCGAAGGTTTCGCGGCCACCCCTGCGGGCGCGGGGGGGGGGGGGCGGGCAGTCCGTCGTACCCGGTGGGGCCACTTTGGATTTGATCGCGGTTCGCAGGGAGGCCTTGGGAGCCCTTGAGAAGATTCCAAGGGCTGTCAGGGGTATGCGTCTTTCTAGCTCGGAGCATCTCCGAGGCCGCTGGATGACGGGAGATGCGTTCTTGGATGTCTCATGGCAGGGTCAGAAGGAGAGTCGCGGCGGCCATGCGCAGCCCTGGCCGGCGCTTGCGAAACTCGACAGCGCTCCAAGGTGCCTTGAGACCCGTCACATTTTTACATTCGCCAGTTCTCGACTGATCAAGGGCGGCGCATTGCTCTTCTCGGGGGGCGCCCCCGCCGCGCGCGCCCCCCGCCCCCCGCGCAGCTGGTGCAGCGGGCTGACCGTCGGCGACGGGGGGGCGGGGGTAGAATTCGCCGGGGCATTTCGCGCGCCACGAAGCTGGCAAGATCATTGGCGAGCCGGACATTGTTCGGAATTTCGATCGCGCGCCCCCCGCCCTTCAGAATTTTGATTCCACGGGGGCGCCGTCGCTCGGCCGCAGAGCATGGCGCCGTTTCTCTTATCGAGAAACAAGAGGGGGGCATTGCCGCTGGTCCGGGCGGCTCATTAGAATCTAGTGACGACGGCGCCCGCGGAAATGGCGGAGGTGATTTTGCCTCTGCCCGCTGGGGCCAGCATGGCCGCTAAAGAACATGTCTCTTCCAAAAGACGGGACTGCTGCTGCCCTTCACGAAGGCGAGGGATTGTTGGCTCTTGCTTTAACTGCGCGTAGCATTCCCCGTGCCAGCGCGGTCTGCGAATTTCGCCATCGCAATTTCAGGAAATTGTCAAGTGATTATTCATGCACTGCGCTGCTCTCGCACCAACGCCTAGGCTTATGTGGCAGATCGCGCGACGTTGCCGCCCATTTCGCCAACAGTTTCCTGGGCGCTGCCGCCTATCATCAAGGGCCAGTCGGTTCGCCTCTTCGCTGGCGCGCCTGATTCGCGTGCAGTTGGCCCGAGGGCGATTGATTTAAAAATCGCATCGGTGGCCCGCGTGTGCTTCCATGCTGGAAGAAGCGCAGGGAAGTTCTCGCTGGGCCGCCAGGCGCGCCCAAGGGCACGCGGCGTTGGGGACTTGCGCGGGACTGGGCTCCGCGATGGCGACTGACTGCTTGAACGTAGTCTTCGCGAACGTTCAGCAGCGCATTGAACCCGGGGCCTAGGCGCTAGGTCAGGGGCGGAAGCCCAGCGTGAGAGCCCGGCTTTTCTCGCAGGATGTCATCGACGCTATGTCGACTAGATCGGTTTGCTGCGTTGATGATCTCACCCTTTTGGTCGCCGCCCCACGAGAGTGCAACTTATTCGTGCAGTTGGCCTTTCTGATTGATATTGCATGCGTGGCGCGCGCGGCATGGCTTGAAACTCAACCCCTCGCAAGACTTAGGTGCCGCTGTCGTTTAGCGGCAAGGGCGCTCAGACGGCGCGCCGCGACCTATCCGATATGGAAGAGCCGCTCATCGCGCCCCCCGACGGGGGGGGCAGGGTCAAAGTTGCCAGATCGCACTCGTGTTCCGGCGTTTCTGACGGACGCCCGAGACGATGCCGCGGAGGGGGCCGCGCGATGCTTTCGGGAGAGAGCCGCGCGCAG